TGCCTTAATATTAGAAAATGAATAAATAATAAACGCTTCTTCTTATAAACTAAGTATCTATGCTGGAAAGTTATTTATTTATTTATCCCTGTCAATTGCCTAGATACTACAGCCTGGTAATAATGTAACTCTAGGACTAAGGTAGTTAGAAGCCCTTATATATACTTAAAATAGGACATATCTTTTAAGAAATCTTTTAATAGAATTACTTTAACTTATATTAATTTAGATAGGTCTGTTTTTCATAAATCTATTATTATAATTCTATATAACTAATTTAATATAAAGAGAGAAGTTAAATAGACCTTTATTTACGTTTATTTATATCTTTATAATTATAATATTATATACTACAATTTAACAGTTTATTATTAATAATAAGAGTAGTCTAAAATTACTAATAAAAACATCCAGTTTGTATTCCCACTTTAAACTCCCATCCACGTAGGCTATATTTAGCATCGACGTGTAGGTCATACCGCCACGTACATGTTTCGGTCCCTCGATTACCCACAACGCCAATTATCCTCCATGTAGTTCATCTCTTCCAAGAGCGATGGGTATTTTGAGTTTGGCTTGGGCTGACAGGCTAGAAAGGAAGAATGTTTCGCAATAATAGACTTTCCCAGCGCCCTAGGTCTCAGGCCCAAGAGGTGCGTAAGGAGGGTGTTTCCCTGTCGAGCCAGGTGGACCAAGAAACACATGTATTCTTTGTCTCGATTTGAGAACATTTTAAGAAAATTCTTACCAGACTTTGCGGTTCTTGGGGCTTTCAAGGCCAGTGAATCTCGCACAGTATTAAGGACCGCTGCAAATTGAACACAAGACTCCTCTGGTGCATTGAATTCAAAACCAATTGTTTTTAACAGATTCAAGTGTAGGTCGGTGGTTTCGTCAAGACCTTCAACTTGGCCCCATCGACTCAAGTCGCTGGTACTGAACGGGGTATTGGCATGAAAGGGTTTCAAGAAGATATATTTAAAGTAAAATCTCTTCTTGAATAAGAATCCCTTTCGCCAGTAGGAAATCTTGCAAAAGCACTCAAATCGTAGAAATGACTCGACAAAGATCCATGTCTGTCGTTGAGGCCATCTGTAGAGTGATGTCTCTGGTCCCAGATATACCGTGTCCAATCTCTCAAAGGCATTGCAAAGCTCCGGTACCAGACCCGCCACAGTCGCCAAGATGGGCAAATTCGATTCCCATTCGTGTGGCATTTCCATGCAGTCTCGAGAAAGAATAGAGTTGAGGATGGGTTCGAGGCTGCTCTCTAACTCTGCTCTGGGCTTCGAGTTGAGTTTGGTACGCAGCCTCTGAAGACGCGTCAGAAGAATTACTAATGGAATGGCCGCTGGGTGTCCATAGTGGCTGTAAATCAAAGGAAGTCTGGGTTTCAGGATCAAGGTGTGACCTGCTCGGAAATGCTGCCATGCGGTGGGCGAAGCTCTCGTCAGCAACAATAGCCCTTCTAGATCAAGAAACAGCATGATTTGAACGTTGAGTTCCATTGGGAGATAGCTGAAACAGTCAAGCCCCTGCGGGGTTGATCCCTTTGGCTGTGACATCTCGACCACAGTAGGGTGGAACGAAAGGTGCAGAAGATGAGAAGCAGGACGGGTAGTCTTGGAATATTATAAGGAATGGATTCTATGACTCATTTTCTGGGGCTTTGTTTTGACTCATGCTAGAGTAGATGACGGGGCGAGATAAACATAAAGTGCTGGAGAGAGTTTCTCCTTCCAGCCACAAAGGCGGCGATTGGGCAGCGCTGCTGGGGCGTAACTTAATTGTTCGTGCCCAGTATAGGTACTTTACAAAAAGCCTTAACTTAGAATACGTACTTACATACTTTATTTAGTCGGCAAATTCAATCAATCAACCTCCCATAGGAGC